AGATAAGATGAGAGGGTATCTGTCTTGGCAGACAGAAGTGGGTGTCAAGTGGGTGAGCAGACAAATGACTGGGAGAAGGTGGTGGCTGAGTGACAATGGGTGGGTGGATGACAGAGTGACTGAGTAGGAAGAAGGGCAAGCTATCAACTCTGATAAGATTCCAGAATATCATATCATATTTTCCAACCTTTTAACTGGCGTTGTGGCTTTCCTTTGAACATTCTCCAAGTCTCACATCTCCCTTCTCTTTGTCTAGCAATCTTGAGCTCTGTCTCAGCCTCTCTTTCCGTGTGTGTGTGTGTGTGTGTGTGTGTGTGGTGTGGGTTTCACTTTCCCATAACAAAAAACTTACTCTGGTGCCAGGTAATATTTTATAACAACGAGATCCTTGGTATGTAAGTGCAACTGCATTTAAGAATTATTTGTAGTAATGAATTTGTGGAAATGTAATGAGAAAAAGAAAATGTGCTTGTTTATTCCTTTCAGGAAATTCCTCTATTCCCCCTGATTTTCATCAGCTATATTTTTGGCAGGCTATGGGCATGGAAATGTGAAGACATCACTCTCAAAGAGAATTATAATAATCACATCTGATTTATACAGATGTCACCACAGGGTTAGGCAGTTGGAAAATCCAGTACTCCAAATGAATAGGCACTTAAAATTAAGGACATGCCATACTTTTGCTAACACTCTGGGTTTTTTTTTTTTAACACTCTGGTTTTGAACATTATCAGTAGTTTGCAGGAGATTCTTTTTTTTTCAGACCCCTAAAGTAGTCATAATGGCAAGACAGATTTATTTCTCACAAGATGAGAGCTAAGGCAAGCTATAGACACTGTTATATTTCCCATAGATCCATTATTAAGATTCCACTCATTTGGATTTCTTGAGCACATATTATGTGTGCAAGACACTAGGAGGATACTGAAGAAATAAAAGATACTGCGTCTGGCCTCAAAAAATTTATGGTAGAGCTGGGATGTGTTGGGGTTGCCTTGAAGGGTTTTAGCTGGGGACTAAAGAATTGGTAGGATTCCTAAGCAGGTCAAGAGAAAGAGCACCTTGGGCAGCCCGGGTGGCTCAGGGGCAGCCCGGGTGGCTCAGTGGTTTAGCACCACCTTCCGCCTGGGACATGATCCTGGAGACCCAGAATCAAGTCCCACATCCGGCTCCCTGTATGGAGCCTGCTTCTCCCTCTGCCTGTGTCTCTGCCTCTCTCTCTCTCTCTCTCTCTCTCTCTCTCTGAGTGTGTGTGTGTGTCTCTCTCATGAATAAATAATAAACAAAATCTTAAAAAAAAGAGCACAGGTCTAAGTTAGGAGTCATAAAAGAGAATGAGTGGTATGTTTAGCAGACAGGAAGCTAATCTGGGCAGAATAAAGGTACTACGTTTGAGAGTGGTAGGGGGCAAAGATGGATGGGTAGCATGTGAACCAAGTTGTACCAGACTTAGAATATCGAGTTGAGATCTGTCATCAATACAGAGCCACTGAAATTTGACCTCTTTTTACAAAGCCAACATTTATTTTTTTAAGATTTTATTCATTTATTCATGAGAGACACACACAGAGAGAGGCAGAGACATAAGCAGAGGGAGAAGCAGGCTCCATGCAGGGAGCCTGATGTAGGACTCGATCCCAGGACCCCAGGATCACACCCTGGGCTGAAGGCGGGTGATAAACCACTGAGCCACCCAGGCATCCCTAAAGCCAACATTTATTAATGTAATAGTATCGATCTTTTCTACAGGGAGAAACTCATGAGCTGATGAAAACTCTTAACACGTGAAGCATTTTTATAGAAATGTGGCCACATGTCATGAGCTAAGATCATATATTGAGACACATAAGTGGAAAGAGAAGGAATGGAGGAAATAATTACTCTGATAGGCCTTTCTACTGTAATAACTGTTGGGAACAAAACTATTCTTTGAAATTGAAGAATTAATTGAACCACTGGTTGCCTTCCGAAGGACATGTAGTTAGGATGGACAAATAAAAAATGATAATAAACCATAGTAAGTATCCCAAACCCCCCTAATCCACTTTGAGCACATGTTAAGAAGACAGGCTGGCTTCTGGTTATTCCGACCTTTTGTCTTATAACAGTGTGTTTATTCTTCATTGAATAAATAAATACTAGAGACCACTAATCCTACAGAGGGAGGTTAGTACAAATAGGGTAGTTATAAAGGCCAACAGTGAAGCTCCAGAACCAAAAAGGACAAATAAACACCATTTCACTTATGGGCCAAAAGTAAAACCCCTAGATATATGTACTATCATACCCCCCCTTCTCCTGTAGGACTCCCATGCTCTTCAGGGCCAGAGGAGTATGCTCAAGGCCATCTCCTCCATAGCTTCTGACAACCAGCTTCCTCCTTTCTCCTTGGGGAAGAATTCGGCAGATTAAGGGAATAATCCCAAATGCTTTTCTAAATTAAAATTAAGCCAAAGAAAAAAAATAAAATAAAATTAAGCCAAAGAAGTGAGAATATGTGACACTAAACGTCAAACTTCCTCTCCGCTTCATATGGAGAACTAATAGCCCTTTACACTTGGACACCAAAGTGATCCTCACACATCTAACACACACACACACACACACACACACACACACACACACAGCAGTAGCAGCAGCAACAGCAACAGCACCTCTCCCTCCCCAAAGTCCAAGATGTTCCAGACAATATAACAAACCACACAGTTGGGAATGATTCATATGTTTCCACTCTCAGTCCAAAAAATGAGCAAAAAAAAAAAAGTTTCCGCTTAATTTAAAATCAGAATTTTCTGCACATTTCCTTAAAAAATTAAAGGGGAACAATTCAAAATCTGGCCTTTCTTTCTCCAAAAATTACTGATTAGTTACATACTAAATTATCTTTTGGTAAAATACTTTTGTGCTCTGTCCAGCCCTAGAGACTTGGGCTATAGCCACATTATGCCAAATATCTAATCAATCATCCAGTGTTTTCATGTTTTCGGATGTTTTCAAAATCTGGTGTTCTGCAGATACAGGCTTATTCTATCCAGTCTTTTGTTATCTCAATCATACATATGGATACAGAGTTTTCTGTTTGGAGTATTTCTCAAGGCCAGTGCCTTATTATAGTTCCAACACCTGCAAATATTTGGCAGAGACTGTCCCATCCTCTCCACATCCCCTACTCTTCCTGCAACCCCACCTCCATCTCTTGCCATTATGAAGCTGTAAGTTTATACAGTATGTCCTTTCCTTGATGCTGTTAATTGTTTATCTGTGACCCATGAAATGTACAATTGCCAGAGCATAAAGTTAAGTTTCAAATCACATTTCATGGGCAAAACTGAGGTCCAAAACAAAGTGGCAGCAGGCTACAGCAGAAAGGATACTTAGAGTGCAGAAGATGAGTTCCAGTTCCAATCCTGTAACTTTGACCAAATCACTTAACCCCTCAAAGTCTTAGTTTATACCACATGATAGTGTAAGGCTTTGACTAGACCAAGTGCAAGGCCTGGCATCCTAGGAGTCTAAGAATGGGAGTCCATGAGATTATTCCTCACCATAGTCTGGAAGCAAGTAAGAATATCACCCTGAGTGGAATCCACAAACACTGAACTTTGTACAAATCTGTACATATTAGATATAAATAAAAATCACAAAAGGCACAAACCACTGTCAGCGTGGCCACTCTCAATATTGCGTGCAACAAATTATGGGAGGGAAAATATATCCCATCCTGAGTATTGCTATCTTCACCAACCTCATGAAATGTTTAGATGAGTTACCATGACTTGTTTGGGGCATGGCAAGAGGAAAATCTCCACTTCCTTTCTTCCCTCCTCCCATCCTATCCTGGTCTTCCTTCCACCCTGGTCTATCTATCCAGCCCCTATTTGGGGGGTGGTAATCTCATTAGTCACATAAACATTTTATTTTCCTGGAGTTTCTGCTAAACAGCTCCCTTCTTAAGAGAAGTTAAACCATATGGCAGGCAGGCCATGGGAATAAAGCAATTTGCTGGATTTGACATTTGTTAACATCAACATGAGGCAGTAGGGTTTTACAAAATAGGTGCTTAGACTTGCACATAAATATTATATATACAGCATGACAACTTCGGGAAACTCTGTCCAATGAACGTCAATGAAATACTGGAAACTTCCAAGGCAGGCAACTGCAGCCCAGTGCTTCAGTCTCCAACCCACACACACTCAAAAAAACAAAACAAAACAAAACAAAACAAAACTGCACGTTGGCACATCTAACACTGGATTAAATACTTATTGCCTGCAGTTGAAATTTTGAGTTCAGACAGCTGATTATCCCTGACTTCGTAGTAAACTGAAATTCCTTTTTTGTCTTTTGTTCTGTTTTGCTTTTGCTTTGTGAGGCAGGCTTAGAATCAGCCCTGTGCTAAGGGCTGGAGGGCAATTTTTGGCAAGCGGAGTGCCAAACCTGTTTCTTTAGCATGTCAAGAGGACAAACATATGTACTACTGTCCTCCACCAAAAAAAAATCTCTCGCCTACATACAGATACACTCAGACGCCTCCACCCACACCTCCACAGAGACACACCCAACCTTCCCATTGCTATACCCGCACGCAGGCATATCAGCACGTATGCTAATTACAGGACACCTACATAGGTACTCACATACCTAAAACAGGCAGAAAGATCATGACAAAGATAGATAGTGTGCAATATGTCACTGACAGAGGACAGAGGGTGTTGTTTCCCTGGGCAGGCTACTGGTGTGGTGCGGGCCAGGGGCTAACTCATCCAGAACTGGCCAGAGGTGAAGGGATGCAACAGGTTTGTGCCACTGATGAAGCAGTTCCCAGGGAGAGTTTGTGAGTGAGTAGGCAATTCCTCACGAGAATAACTTGGGGGTTAATGGACTTGTTACATAGGACAAGTGGACCTAGCTTGATTAGGGAACTTGCTAAGTGTGTATAACAATTGTGTGTAAAGAGACCAAGGTGTATAAGAGACATTTCCCAGATCCCTTACCTTGAGTTTCTCAAATCGGTCATTCAGGGACGCAACCTGATGGTCTCGGTGACGTCCCACCAGTTTGCATAAGGCACAGATCAATTGGTCATCAGATACACAATACATGTTCACTTTCTCGTTCTCGTGGTCCAGGCAGGTGATCCCTCGAAGGTGGGTGTCTGGCACGGGTTCCACCAGGCGGTGGCTGGTGAAAGGTTTCTTGTTGGGGTGTGTGGCCCGCAGGCAACGGTCACAGTAGGAGACCTCACAGGTGATGCATGTTTTCACTGCATCCCTGGGCGGGTCCTGCTCACAGAATTGGCAAGCAATTCGCTCACTAGACATGGCAGTGCTGGGCCTGTAAGTCCTTTCCCGGCGGCTCTCACTGGGGGAATTGGGCCCACTGACTGAAGCCTTCTGGAAGCGATCGATAATGTTCTGCAGAGTCACATTCCTCTTGAGGCCATCCAGGCCCCGGTGGTTCAGCGAGATAACATACCTGCATGTAGGACACTGGAAAGCAGTAATGGGTTCAATGGATTCACCAGAGCTGCAGCTTGAGACCAGGATGCGGTGGGCACAGCTAAAGCAGAGGCTGTGAGCACAAGGGAGCAGAAGGGGGTCTTCGAACAACTCCAGGCAGATTGGACAGGTCAATTCAGACTCCAGTGTTTCCATCTTTAGTGAAAATAATCCTGCTGAGGCATTAAGAACCACAGAGGTTCTGCTTTCACCTGCGAGGAATACAAAGCAAGAGTCACTAGGCGTTTCCGAAGGAAACGTGGATGTAGCACAGTCACACACTAGCCAATGGAGGCTTTGCACGCTAGCTTCTCCAGTGGGGCTGGAGCAATAGGAAAGCAATCTGGGAATTAATCAAAAAGTCTTTCTGGGGGGATCCCTGGGTGGCGCAGCGGTTTAGCGCCTGCCTTTGGCCCAGGGCACGATCCTGGGGGCCCGGGATCGAGTCCCACGTCGGGCTCCCGGTGCATGGAGCCTGCTTCTCCTTCTGCCTGTGTCTCTGCCTCTCTCTCTCTCTCTCTCTCTGTGTGTGTGACTATCATAAATAAATAAAAAAAATTTAAAAAAAAAAGTTTTTCTGGGGAATCCCTGGGTGGCTCAGTGGTTTGGTGCCTGCCTTCAGCCCAGGGTGTGATCCTGGAGTCCCAGATATAGTCCCGCATCAGGCTCCCTACGTGGAGCCTGCTTCTCCCTCTGCCTGTGTCTCTGCCTCTCTCTCTCTCTCTCTCTCTCTCTCTGTGTGTGTGTGTGTGTCTCATGAATAAATAAATAAAATCTTTTTTTAAAAAAGCCTTTCCCCACCCCCGCTTCAAACCTTGTTTTCAACAAATGTGTGAGTTTATGTTCCTGCACTAATAAATAGAACCAAGTAGTCACTTCTGAATCCTGGTTTGCTGGCTGACATAACTATTCCAACTTATGAGACCAGTGCAGATCAGACCCCTCACATATTATCCACTGACATCTCTGGTCCTGGACTGTGATGAGCCTGAGGCCCTGCAAAATTCTCAATCTCCATTCTCCAATACTGGTCTGTATTTTTCCTTCAAGGTAAAATAAAGGGGCTGTGCCTATTTCACATCTAGGGGAAGGAAAAAAGGCCATATTTCAAACTCTCTACTTTTTGAAATGATTCCATTCTGAGAGCCTGGGTGAAAAAGAGCAAGCTTTGGAAAAAAAGGACTGCTCAGCATAGAATAATAAATTCTTCAGAGTGTGAACTCTAATTATTTCCTGGTGTCACTCATGGAAATTCCTGTTCTGTTCCATTTCTAGTAAACTGAGTTACTAGAGATAAATGGTACTGGTTTTCACTTCTTTCCTTCACCTTCAGCAAGCTCTTCATCTCATCAAGCTCAATGAGAAAGGACTTCCACTTTTCAACAAACTCAGCAATAGATGCTGATCAATAATGAAGACATATTACCTTCTGGTTTCAGCTGGGTTTTATTATTACACATTCACTGAACTAGCACAAGCCTACCATGAAGCTCACCTCCCCATGTGTCTTTTCATACTTCCTAAAACATTACAAGATGCAAATCAACACCCAGATATAAATTAGCAAGGTGAGGAGCCAGCCAGTTCCACATCTGGTAATTTTCATTTTGGTATGTGCATCGCAGAGAAAAAGAAGTCACCCAATTAATGAAATTAATGAAACCAATCTCTTGGTCAATCTATCTCTTCTCCCACAGCCATTTCTGAGCTGAACATAATAGATATTGCCATGGGTCTTCTGTTAATTAAAATGAACACACATAAATGTTCTAAGCTAGCCTTAACTAAGGAAAAAAATCTATCTTATCGACAGAAGGTGTTAATCTTACTTTTAGAAAAGAGAAAGCCGTCTTTGGCTTGTGAATAACTTTTGTTCATCATCTTACTATCATGGAAGACCCTCACCGGGGCTTGAAGTTTTGATTCTGCCACTGAATAAAAACACCAGATGCATCCCCAAAAGCTGTTTCTAGATCAAACCGCTTAGGTGCACTAAACGAACTAGCTATTTAATGGAAATCTATAGGAAAAAGTTTAGAGTAAAGTAAAAGTAAAGAGTCTTTCTGGCAAAACAGCCACTCATGGTTGGTTTGGTAAGTTCTGACTGTATAACTACGTTTTTAAAACATGAGACATGCGGTTATTCTGTTTATGATTTACGAGTGCTGCAAAATTGTTGGCTGGCAATATGTAGCTTATAATACCTATCAGCATTCACCAATAGAGATGAAAGAGTACAATTACATTGTGCCTACATCACAAGACCTTAAAAGTGGAAGAAACTTTTAGTTAGAGATGATGGATTCCAACCTTTGCTCCAGGCAGGAGTATATCCTTTGATTGTTCCACTACTCAAGTTCAACATGGCCATAAATGAACTTGCTATCCTTCCTCTCTCCTCCCTCCCCCACCCAAAACCCAAAACACCTGTTCTTCCAGTTTTCCCTATCTGATGAATATCACTAACCAAGCCTATAAACCTAGGAGTTCTCTCATTTACATGTTTATCACCACAACCACTAGTGGCTTCCAGAACCTTCTGTTTTATTTCATTTACATATCTCTGTCTCCAGCCAACTCTCCCTGCCCCTTGAGGGCATCGATTGTTTTGTATTTTTATTCAGAACACAGTGCCTCATACATACTGGGTATTCACTAATTGTGAAATGAAGGATCCCTTAAAGTAGAAGTCAGAAGAAGGGACCTAGCATTTATTGAGCACCTCCTGTATTCTGAGTGGTGTTAAGCACTTTACACACATTACTTCATTAAATGCTGTCAAGAAGCCTGTGAGGAAGGAATTACCGTATCCATATCACAGCTAGGAAATTGGGGCTCAGCCCTGCTAAGTAAATCAACCAGGAACATATATACCCAGTGCACTGGATCAGTCTAATGCCAGTGCCTGTGCTCTTTCCCCTACACCTTTATTTCAATCCTCTCACCTCCTCCACTAAGGTTTATCTTGACTATTCACAAGAGGGCTTCTAAACAGTGGGTTTCCGCTTCTATTTTTGTCTCTCTGTGTCCCCCTGAGTCTCTCTGAATCTGTCCCTCATTCCGAGTCCCTTCCAGAATCATATCTTTTTCTTCTAGACCCAACTCCACCTCACACTACATTTTTCTTACTATCTCTTCCGGAACTGCAAGTTTGCCTTCTTCAATGTCTGTATTGGAAACTGCCTGGGAGAGTGGAGTGAGGCCTCCCTCCAAAATGACAGTTGGGGGACACCTGGGTGGCTTAGTGGTTGAGCATCTGTCTTGGCTCAGGGCGTGATCCTGGGGTCCTGGGATGAGTCCCCACACTGAGCTCCCAGCAGGGAGCCTGGTTCTCCTTCTGCCTAGGTCTCTGCCTCTCTCTGTGTCTCTCATGAATAAATGAATAAAATCTTTATAAACAAAACAAAACAAAACAAAATGACAGGCAGTCAGGAGCATTGCTGAAAGACATTTATGTGTTAAGACTGATACAAAAGCAATTGAGGTCTCTGTGGTATTCTTCTAAATCTTAGGAGTGTGCCAAACAAATTTCTTCCATACAAGAGGAAGAGCTCTTTGAGTTTCCCTGAAATCGTAAATATTGTTCTTTTTTTTTTTTTTTTTTGGAAATATTGTTCTGGAGTAAGTGGGACACTTGAACCTCATGATGAAATTAAGCTTTGAAAAGTATGCTATGGCTCAGCATTACCTCCAATAAGGTCAAAACAGGACTTCTAACCAGGGAGTTCAGAACCTCTTAGAACTGTTTGAAGAATGTTGTGTGTTTGTCATATATACATTCTCATGGGAAGAGGGCTGTCCAGGGCATTCAAAATGTTCTCAAAAGAGTCCCTGATAGAAGAAAATGATCCACCTTAAGTGATGTCAGCTCTATAAAGAATAATATAAGATGGTTACAATCTGTTGCCTATGATAAGTAACTTTTCTATACTGTTTCTATCCTGTTCTGGGTTTTTTTTTTAAAGATTTATTTATTCATGAGAGACAACAGAAGGAGGCAGAGACATAGTGAGAGGGAGAAGCAGGCTCTCTGTGGGAAGCCCTATCGATGCAGGACTTAATCCTGGGACCCAGGATCACACCCTGAGTGGAAGGCAGCTGCTCAACCACTGAGCCACCCAGGTGCCCTTATTCTGTTCTGTTTTATCATCATCTAGCAAATGCTTTAGCCGAGACCGGGAAACTGAATTTTTTTTCAACTTCTTCAAACATCTGTTCATTTCTCTCATTTATGAGGCCACCTTGTTCTGTCACTCCTAATATTTCAGCACCCTTTCAACTATCTCACATTTTCACTCCCTCCTTGATTATCTAAGCAGCTTTCCTCTTAAAATTTACCTGGCACATACTATGTGCCAGGCACTAAATTATACCCTTTACATGCATTATTTCATTTAATTTTCACAGTGACCCTCTACAAGATAGGTAGTATTATTACCAAACAAACAAACAAAAAAAGTAACTTGTCCCAGATCACATTTATTTGCAAGTAGCAGAACTAAGATTCAAACCTAGAATAAGACTAAGAATCCAGAAATCAACTGATATTCTCATATGTTTATGGGCAAATAGCTTTTGATGAGGATTCCAAGTCCACATCAGTGAGGAAATAATCTTTTCAACAAGTGGTATAAGGACAACTGCCTATCCAGATGGAAGAAAAGGGGGTGTGGAGCAAAGTTAGAGCCCTACCTCATACCATATGCAAAAATTATCTCAAAATAAAGCAACAACCTAAATGAACATGCAGAAACTATAAAACTCTTGGGAGAAAACACAGGTGTAAATCTTTGTGAACTTAAATTAGGCAAGAGTTTCCTACATGATGCCAAATGCATGAGCAACCAAAGGAAAAAAATAGATACATTGGACTTTATCAAAATTTAGTACTTCAGTGCTGCAAATGACACCATCAAGAAAGTGAAAAGACAACTCACTGAATGGGAAAAAAATATTTGCTAGTCATAGATGCGATACGGGTCTAGTAGCTAGAAATAAACAGAACTCTTAAAACTCCACAATAAAAAAGACCAAAAAGGGGGCAAACGATCTGAATAAACATTTCTCCAAAGATAATACTCAAATAAATGATCAGTAAGCACAAGAAAAGATACTCAACATCATTAGCTATTAGGGAAATGCAAATCAAAACCACATTGAGATACAACTTCGTACTCATTGGGATGGCTATATTACTACTTCACACCCACTA